TATACTGCCCTTCTCTGGACAAGGAGAGTTTCATTCTCCTTCATTTGGGATATAATAGCTTTCCCCCATCTGTGGAAATCCTCACCTTACATGATTTTTCTCATTTTCATTAGCATCTATCACTAAAGACTAAAAACATCTACCACTGAGTGATCTCTTGATCTCCTTCAAGTGCCTAGCACCACTGAAATAAGGAAGGGCTATCTGGCTGCCACATTCACAAGAAGTAAATGATGCTTCTACTCAGGATACCTCATCTGCTAGTTTTCAAATGTGTCTTCCACTGAAAGAGGGAGGAGTGGCTTTATTATAGTGCATTTGGACTCATTCCAGCCAGTAGCCCTGGTCTTTTCTTGGATGAGCTGTTAAAACACACAAATACAGTGTTAAAACATAGTGTTTCAGCTGCCAAATCACCTGTTACTGTTTCACTGGGAGAGATATTAAGACACTTGTTTAATTAATATGTGCAATTGCTGAGATATCTAAGTGCAATTGAAGCAGAAAAGCATTATGTCTTCTTAGTTTATCTTAATCACTTTAAAAGGGTTTAATGTCTTTTCCTTACTCAGGAAAGAGGCAGGTGAGCCATGTCTCCCAGCATAAAAAAAAAAAAAATAATCAGAAGCCAGAAAGCATCCCAGACCATGTCCCAGAGCATTTCAAAGGTTGCCTCTCTGCAGAGACAGCACAGGTTAGATACTGCTACACTAGGATTTTCCTAAGTGCACTCTACCAGCTGCTATTCTGCATTTGCTGCCAATGCATTTTCTGCTACAGTTCTTCAGATGATCATTTGATGATCTAAGTTTGACAAGGGACCTCTCAACAGGATAAGTCCAGCAAATTTACTGATTCGTGGATGAACCTTGCCATTCTGGAGTGACTAGAGTTCCTCAGTGGCAGCACATGACTTCCTCCAACACGGTTAGCATCACTGTGAAGACAAAGCTTGGTGCCATCTGTGCAATGGACACGGTGAGAAGTTCCACAGGGTGCGTCTGGGTCACGTAGGTCATCTGCGACACCCCTCAGCACACAGAGCTGTCATTTAGCACTGAAACACCTCTAAGTGCAACATGCAGGTCTGGGTAGCCACCAGCTGAATTATCTTAAGCATGAGAGCAAAAGCTTCCCGGTCAGGACCCTCACTGCCCCATGTAAGGCGAAAGGAATAGTATCACTCAAGACACCCAAGAGATGAATGCTCTCCTATTATATCCCAACATACAAAGGAGATAATTTCCCTGCTCCCAAGATACAGATAATGAAAATAGATAATGACAAAGCATCCTCCTAGGACAGACCCTCTTCCACCTCCCTCAGAGCAGGGGAGGAGAAGACAGAAGACAACAACTGGGACAAGGGATCCCACATTACACAGGGGACTGTCATCCAGCAACTGGGCTGGGATGAACATCAGCACTTACTCCCTGACCCTTGTGGGTCAGATACAGCTGTGAGTCTTTTTCCCCATTACTAAATCATTGCAAAGGCAGGACTATGTGCCACTCACAGTAGATCATGGTAATACTCCTGAGATACTCCTTATATCTTCCTTTATACTCCTAAATTAAGAATAACAAGATAAAATGCACATGATTCTTCTACACAGCTACTTTTCCAGGCTTTTCACTGATACTAACAAGAACTAGAGTTTGCATTTATATTTGTTTATTATCTTCAAGAATTTCTTAGATGAATCTTTCTATACTTAAAACCCGAGGCCCTCCAGAGGAAAAAATTACAACAAAGAAGAATGTTTTGTTACCAACCCAGCACAACTGAGTTTAATTTAAACTCTTTTATGACCCACCACAAGGACTAGAAATGCATGCTTTTCTGTATTTTATTCCAACTGCAGTTTTTGGTGATTTAAGTAAGGGAATATACAGTGTCAGTTTTCAGGGATTCACTCTGAAAAATCACAGAATTGGAGAAAACACTGTGAGGTAATTAGTGTGATCAAGTTATCTCTCCAGCTCATTAGAACTAAAAATCAATGCCTTATGGTAGAATCTCTGTTGTATCATGATTCCAGCTTGTAATGATGGGTAGGTAATACTATTTGGGAAGCTTAAATTTTGCTATCTCAAGTTGTTTGTGAAACAGCTACTCCTAAAATAGTGCTCTAGATGCAGGAAGGAGAAAGATAAAAGCAGATCTACTCTGTCCCCTAAGAGAGAACCAGTTTATAAAGGCATCCTTGATCTGATTTAGCACTGCAACTCATGCCATTGTACAAAAGATCAATCAGGACAAGCAGAAAAAGCAAGAAAAAGAGGAAATATGAGAAGCACACAGACAGTAAAGTCCACTGGAAAGAACTGTCACTTCTATATTGTCATGTTGGAGACATCTAAAATCCAAACCACTCTTTTCACATCAAACTGCAAACATACAGAAAAATGCATTGGAAGACAGAGATAAGGCAGCAAAAAAAGCAAAGCTAGAAGCAAAGTATTTATTTGATTATCCTCAGGATATGTGTGGGATTACATTTTATGATCAACTTTCAAGACTTTCCTATATAGAATTCAAGTCAACTGACCTTCTTTCTGTCCTAACTCTTGTTATTTCCTGCTAGTTATCACAAAATAGCAGTATCCTTGGCATCATTTAAAGAGATTTCCTACTTCTTCCCACACACGCAAGAGAAGAACAAACAGTTTCTTCTGGGTTTAGTGAAAATTAAAAGATGTGGCTGCTTGCATGGTGGCACGGGCTTAAGTAGAAGTGTGTGACTGCTGTTCCCTTGGTGTTTGAAGCAGACTTGTTTGCTTCCCGCTTATCTTTGAAAGCAGGAACATCTTAAAATAAAAGCACAGCAGGGCCAGTAGGGAACTAGTTGGCAATGCTCTAGTTCTGAAAACATCTTGTGTGTCGGATTGCTCTTACTGAAGAGCACTAGTTAGATTTGTAAAGTCAGGAGAAACTTGTAACACCAGCACTGACTGTCTTAAAGTCCAGTGCGTGTATTTACTTATGGACAGGGTGGGGGTTGATGTTTTTTGGGTTTTAATCATCAATCAAGAAATTAGGAGTCTGAGGGAGAGGGACAGCAGCTCAGGTCCCAGGCATGCAGCACATTGCAGATTAAATGTATCTCAATAGTCATAGGGAGCAGAATTATCTCATGATGTTTACTTTCCACTGAGCCCTGACAGAAGGGTAGACAGAGAGGGAATACATGCATGTGCTAACAGAGCTTCACAAGGAGATTCTCACTGCAGAGAAAATTACAGAATTGAACAGAAATAGAAGTTATTGTCTTTAGTTAGAGAGCATGAATCTGTGACCTGCAAGTGTCCAACTTAAAAGAAAATCTACCCACAAGTAATGCACTCAAAATGATTTAACTCTTCATTTTTATCTTTGAAAAACTCAAAAACTCAACTATTTTAAATAAACTTGAAGATGTCAAATTAAGGCTTCAACCTGGTTAAATTTAGAGAATGAACTAGATGATTAAATGGCCCCCTTAAAGAAATAATTATTTATTTTCCTGTGTTTAGGTACCTTCTTCTATCAAACTCTCCAAACCTCCCACTACTGTTCTCACTCTGATGCACAAGTCCAGAAGAACTGGTACAGTCCTTCTAATCTTATTTCTAGTTTTTATTCCCACTCTTGCACAAATAATCCTATTATCAATTTTTAGCATCTGCATGATCAGAACGATCAGGCCCTATTTACATGTCATAGCACTAAAGAATTCAAAATGCGGTTACACAGTTCTACTACTCCAGGATCCATACCCACTCCCATTAGGTTTGCAAATGAGATTTTGACTGCTTTGACTTACAATTCAGGGCAAGTAAGTGCACACTAATGGTGGAAAATATACTGCATGTACAGTGGCACCACAGCAGCAAACATGCACAGTATCAAGTAATAGTCACACAATTTGTCACTGCTCCTGTCCCTGTACCTCTGTCTAGCAGAGCTACCCTTGTTCCACCCAGGGCCACCTGCCCCCCACAGCCCCATTTTGTCTCGCACAGTATGACCACTCCCCATGCACAGAGGCAGAGCAGTGCTCTGTGCGTTGCTTCTTCAGATCAACAACAGGGACAGGAAGGACCGGTGAAGGGAAATTCCCAGTGACACCATCTTTATTCCTCCTCAGTGAAGGGTCAGAGCACAACAGAAATGTTGCACATTACAGGAGCAGTGCTGTACTTCAGACTGCACGACAAAAAAGAGATGCTCTTTCTGGAGAAGCTGCCAAGTCAGGATGGGACTGATTGACACTTTGTGCTACAGTACGTGACTAGGTATCTGAGACTTAAGTAGACAGATTTTCTGCTAAGCACTGGGACAACCAGTAATAAGATGCACATGCTGATGTAATTTTACAACTGCAATACCAAGATGTAAGTGCTCAGATTGGGAACCTCCTCCTCATTCTGTCAGAGCCAGATTTGCTGATCTCCTGGTAAGAATGCCAAGCACATCCTCTCCTACTGCTTCTTGGAAAGTGAACATCTGTATCATTTGTATTTATTCCAGAAGATCCTCATCAAGGTGATATGAATATTCCTACATGTTGAACAAAGTAGCCGCAAACAAATAGATATGTAGATATATGATGTTCCCAGAAACATAGCTTGGATTCTGTCCTACAGTCTTTTATAAATTAAAAATACGAACCGAGGTGGGAAGATTATGTTTAAATTCACATTTTAAAGACAGTTACTACTTTGTGTTCTTCATCAGCTACTTCACATATATTCTACAAAAGCAGTTAGCCTTACTGGTCCTCCTTTGTAAGGAAAAATATACTGGTTATGCTCAAGTCAGACAGGGCAAGCAACACCCCTCAGAGAAGAGTTTGGCTGTCCCAAATTCACCTTTCCATTAAATGAACTGTCATTTGACTAAGGAACACAGACACTTAACAGGGAAATAAAAAAACAACTGAAAGTTAAATTTTAACCAAGTTACGTACTTTAGGGGAAAAAAATCATATAATGTGGTAAATCCCTCTTTCCCACAGAAAACAAAACAAAACAAAAGTCGCGTATCCCGTAGGAGTCAATGACAGCTCAAGGATTGACCTCAGCAAGCTGTCAGCCTACTGAAGAGAGATGAAAACCTGATGCAAACCGTGCTGCGGCTGCTTCTGTCGGCGGGGATTTTGATGACGGCGTCGACACCCGTGTGCGAGCGGCGGGCGTACCTTTGGGCCCGCAGATGTTTTCCCACGCGGGAACAAACCTCCGGACCACGACCCGAGTCTCTCCTCACGGGGGTGCCAAGGCCAGACGCGCATCACGGCACCGCCCGCTGCCCCACGCTCTGCCCTGAGAGCCCCGGGAGGGGCTGGAGAGCGGCGCGAAGGAAGGATGAGGATATGTCCATCGTCCCCCGCCCCAGTCCCCGGTCCTGCGGCCCTTCGGAGCCCGGAGGCAAGAGGGGCCGGGGCGGGCGCCCGTCCCGGGCTCCGGTGCGGGGCGCTGCGGGCGGACAAGCGGGAGAGCCTGCGCGGCGGCCGGGGCGTGGGGAAAGTCGAAGGGGAGAAGCGGAAAATAAGTAAGTAAAGACGAAACTCTCCTCCTGAAGGGGGACACTCTGCGGCACAGTTCGCTTTACTGCGGCGGCAGGCGGCCCGCCCGGTCCGACACCCGCGGCGCTCGGCTCCCGCCCGCCGGTGCCCCGCCCGGAGCGCGTCCTCCGCTCCCCGAGCGCCCCGGCCCCGCTGCGGGGCGGCGGAGCGACCCCCGCCCGGCCCGGCCCAGCCCCGCTCGCCGGCCCCGCTCACCTCATGGCCCAGCTCCGCGGGCGCCGCCCGCTCCCCCAGCGCCGGGCCGGGGAGCGCAGCGGCGGCGACTCCTCCCGTCCCCGCGGCGGTGCCCGGCCCCGGGAGGCGGCTGGCGGCGGGCGGGGCGGGGGAGGGCCGGGCCGAGGGGCGGCCGCGCCGCGTCCCCTCCCCGCTCCGCCCCTGCGGGGCAGCGCGGGCCTTGGGGACGAACACCGAGCGGAGCCCGGAGATGAGTCCGGCTCCCGGGGTATCCGAGCGCTCCCTCGGCGGCGGCGTTCGCGGGAAACTTGATGGAAACGGAGTGTGAGTACCGCGGCTGTCCGGCCGCCGATAGCGTCTCTGCTGTGGCCGCACGGAGTTATCCGTACTTGTGAGGATCTACATAACCCACCACCTGCACTGGTGGTGGTTATTTACTTCCCAGGAAAGCATCTCACAGCATTACGAATGACCTGCACACACCTACTGCTTTTGCTTCCTTCACTTAGGGTTCTGTTGCAGACCCGCACCCCAGCAGGCTGAGGGGCGCGGGAAGGCAGCATGTGCACATTCCCTGAAGCGAATGGTGGCTGTTTCTTCTTGTCCTGTCGCGGGTCATCCCTGGGGAGATGCTTCCACCTTCTCCATAACTACCATTTCAGTGCTGGGAAACCATGATCAGATCCAGCTGAGACTTCTCTTCTCAGGCTGAACGCACCCAGTTCCTTCAGTCCTGTGTGCTATGGCAAGTTCACATTTGAACATCTCTGTGGCCCTCCATAGGAACCCCTCCAATTATTCAGTGCCCCTTTTGAACTGGGGAAGACCACGGCTGGGGGTCAGTCCTCCAGAAGTGGACCGACAAGTGCCAAATAGAGAGGAATAATGGCATCCCTTGATCTGCTGGATATGGTCTTGCTGGCACAGAACACCTACCCCCCACCCTGGTCTAAAGTAGATATAATTTCAATTTCCAAAGCATGATTGAATCACAATTGCTGTTAAATCAAAATCCACTGTTAGGTCATTTTTAAGATCCAGCTAGGACTCTCACAGATAAAAGTAATCCATTTGGGCAGTTGCAAACATTGTACCAGCCTCTCAGCCAGACTTTTTGTCAGAAACCATGAACTCCATGGCAGTCAGCAGCATGTGATATGCCACCACCAGAGTTGCTACAGTTCACTGTTAAATTTATAAACTTAAACTGCCAGTGACAATACACATGTGCTAATATTATCATATGTTAATAACCAAGGCCTGGGCAACTCGAGAGCACCAAATGTCTGTAGTGCAGCTGAGGAGGAGGAGTGAGGCAACATAAGGCAGTTTATAATTACAATGATACTGCAATCAAGCAGTATAACAGCTAGACCAGTGAAATGTACTCTGGGCCATGTCTAGCTTCTGGTTTGTACTAGTAAAGAAACCCTGGCAGACAGAAACCACACTGAAATAGTTTCATTATTTCACTATGATAGATACTGTCGTACTGGTCTAAAGATGTTTTCTGCAGGAGTGCAGCACAGGACTCCATGGCTGTGTGAACACCACTGGGCTGTTGCTGTATACTCCTGTTGTTAATACAGCTTCCTCAGGCTCCTGAGCTTGTAGCCATTAAAAATGGATAAAGTAAGGTTCATGTTTAAGACATACATATAAGCAAGCAAACAAACAATTTCATAAGTGTATTCTTTTTATTTGTTCTCTTTGCAGCATTTTGAAACCCCTGATTTCTGCCAGCAGCAAACTTGTCATGAACTTTGGTCTCACCAGAAAGTTCTCAAAGTGCAGTGACAAGTCTGTCAATATGCAGTGGAGAAATGTGGAGAGTCCAGTGGTCCCAATGTGGTCCATCAGTACCAAAAGGATTCCCAAACTGAATCAGGGTCAGGCAGTAAGTCTCAATGACTTTCCCGCTTCCCAAGTGGATGTTGAAGTAAACAAAGAGGTAAACTGCTGGGCGGGTTGTTGAAGTAATGCTTTGGCTTTTTGCAGAGGAATCAATAGATGCAAATCACATGGATACAGCCACATTGTAACCAGCTGCTTTTAATAAAGCACACAAAGATAGGAAGCACACACACTTCTGTTTAAGGTGTTTACTGACAGGCACCCAGCCTGGGCATGACCAGAGGAGGTATTACCTCAACTCCTCTGCTACAACTGGTCCTTTGAACACAGTGCAAAGCCATGAATTACATGTCCAGTTTCTGGGAGAAAGCACTAAGAAACTCTGCATCCTGGGTCCAGCATCCAGATGTGTTAAGAGTTGCTTATTGTGTGAAAAGATGGCTGAATGTAGGCAGGGAAATGTACTTTTCCTGCAATCTCATTCAAAGAACAGATTGAAACAGCTCTGCTGAACTTTTTGAAAGGGTTCAGGTCAGCCCTAGGGCTGAGACATGGCATGCATTTAACTCAGCAGCTGCAGTTAAAAAGCCCTGAAACCCACAATACTCAGAGAAGTGTTCAAGGCAAGGCTGGATGGGTCTTTGAGCAATCTGATCTAGTGAAAAATGTCCCTGCCTATGGCGGGGCCAGTTGTTGGATTAGATAATCTTTAAGTCCCCTTCCAACCCAAATGACTCTATGATCTAGAGCGGAGTTTATTGGGTGGCTCAAGCATTGGCTTCTCATGTTATAAATGACTGGATTTTGCAAAAGGCCGATGCCTTTGCGGTTTAGCAGAGAAGGGAAGTCCATAGGGGTGTCACTAGTGCAGGGTGTGCAATGTGCAATAGGTGGTATCAGTGATGTGTTTCTACCCGTTGCTACAGCCCGATTGCTGTGGGCTGTCCTGCCCTCTAGTGCCTGCAGCGACAGCTCCCTCTCTCTTCTCTCCACTCCCCCAATGCCTGCAGCACATGCACATGCACACCCAGGAGCTGCTGACCTCCGTGCCACCCTGGGTGCAGAGCTGGCCGCTCTTCGGCCTTACCTGCCTGTCGAGGACAGCTGCTGCTGGGGACACCGACCCAGCAAGGAAACGGTGTTGCTGCAATGTATCACAGATGCACTTTTGTGAGGGAGACTGCCCCACTTCAGGAGCTGGCCTGTGAACAGACAGAGACACTCGGGGCAGTGCAGGCACATTCTGTCAGTCACGTCTGGTACCATTTCCAGTAAAACATCAGGAAAGGATGATTACAAAGAAAATCAAGACTGGACTTAGCGTGTGGCTTCAGCCCCTCACCTGGGTGCCAGGAGTCAGGGACTTAATGAGGATTTTGCACTGGCAGAAATTCCTAGTGGCAGGTACCTCTTTGAACTTGAAAAGCTTGAGGAACAACTGCTTTTGCTCTATTACCTGTTGAGATGCCCATTCAGGTTTGCGAGGAAAGACTAATATGACTGAAAAGCAATTTATCTAATTGCTGTAGTAGCAACCTTTCAAAACAGGGAGAGTAAGGAAATTTTGTTCCAAGAACATTATCAAAGCACTTCCAAAGGTTATTATGATGCTCTCAATGTCCTTCAAGTGCAGGGTGTGGGACAGCAGTACTTTTCAACTGTAAATCTCCCAGTTTTTTGATGGATTGGATTGTGTAGAAGGGGATAATATTTCCCTGCCATTCATTGCACTAGTAACTTATCTTGGTTCTTACAGCCTGAAATCAACAATACCACATATGGAAAACATGTTTTAATGCTTTACTGTTGCTTAGGTTCCTCTTTCAGCATGGGTAAGGCACAATACTTGTAAATAGAGAGGAATTAATTTCTTCTCTCTGAGCCATTAATCTCCATTTACTTGATGACTTGCATGTTTGTTACTCAGTTTCCAAATCCTGTGTTCCTGCTTGATCTGATTCTTCCAACTGGGATGAGATGGGATCTGAAGGCTGTTCCTCAGCAACAGGTTGGTCAGTCTCTTCTTTCTCTGTGACTATTTGGTCAGCAGCAGCTGTCTCACCAGACACCTGGGGTGCAGCATCTGGTGGCCTGGGCTCTTTAGCAGGTTCTTCTGTCTGACCAGGCAGAGTCTGACAGCTAAATGCATCTAAGCGTTTTTCAACCACTGTACGAATCAAGGCTGAAACAGAGAAAGCCACCATTAACGAACATGGAGGAAAACCCCTATAATTTAACATTTTTTATATATTACTGACCTGTAATTTCTTAAACAGGGAAAGAACCCTAAAGTAACACTAAAAATTAAAGAATATTTAAATGAGACAAAACCATCCCTGATGCTGTAGCCAGATGATTGGTTTACACTCAAAGCAGTGATTTGAAAAGGGTGCACTTGGGTATTTTTGTTAATTTCCTCACATTTGCTTCTCACTCCCAGAGCAGGTCACCCCATCAGGAACAAGGACTAGCCAGGTTACACAACAGGCGGTGCTTTAGGCAGTCTCCATTCAAATAGGTTAAAAGTGGATCCTTAGAGACTTTTCCCATGTGTCTGCTTAAGAGGGGAAAAAAGCAATGAACTATCTCAGCTGAGGCTGTGTCTGCCTCTACAAAATTTGGAGAATGTTCCTTTAGCAGAGATGATGTTTACTCAACAGTGGGTGACTGGGTATAAATCAGGAAATACAGAGGGTAAATAGCAAAATGGGCTGCTGACATTACTTATTGGCCTGCCCCAAGTGCTCTGTATATCTCAGAACTGGAGCAAGAGTATGATATCTAGTTAAACAATTAAACAGATTTAACAGGAATATGATAGATGTTCTCATCAATAGAGTATCCTGCAGCAACATTATCCTAAGGATGTTTTAATTCAGTAGTCACGTACAATATATTTTTTCTTAAAAGAAGAGAAATTTCTTTCCTCTCCTGAAGAGCTACATGAAGAAGTGATCCTTGAATGTACATACTGGCACATATATCAGGATAAAATACCTAACAGACCAGCTGTAATTGTCCAAATCATACTATATCTTAATAAATAAAATTCAGTGTTCCAGGTAAACCAAAAACAAACCCAACGGGAGCAAACACAATTTTAATTCAAACCCAAAATCCCAGCAAGAGGAAAACTATAGGAATGAAGAAGATGTAATGCAAGTGTAAAAAGTGGTTTGACCTAGGAGCACCCCAGTGGATACACATACATCATAATTTTGTTTTTCTACAGAAGAGGGAGTTCAGATTGTTCAGGTGTTTCAACTACAGCCTCTGAAGACTGAGTAATAAAAGAACCCAAATACTTAACTTGAACTAGCCCAAAAACCACTGATATTTCAATCTATTTCAAAAGCAAGGACATGATTATTGACTACAGCAGGAGGTAAGCCCTTGTTTTGATGAAAAATGTTGGTCACCTCACTTCTCAGTCAACCATGGCCTATGATTATCCTCCTTTCACATAGGAGTGCTGGGAGCTTACACAAATGAATGAAGAGACTTTCATGGTATTCATGTGGCAGTACACAGGATGGGCTTTTCTGTTCCCACTGGCACAATCAGGCACACTACAGAGAGCGTAACAGCAATGGTAGCTGTGTAACACAGAGGAAGTAGAAGCTTTATAGCAGAAAAAAAGATTTGTGTTCTTTAACCATTATCTTCCTGACATATGTGTTGTATCTCCCAGCATTAACACATCTCAAACAGTATAAAGCCAGAAGAGAGTGGACAGTGCAGCATGACTGACACTCCTATTATTTCAGATGAAAATCAATTACCTAGTTGTATGTAGTAGTAGTTTTCCAACATTAAAACATTTTGATATAGTAAAAAAAAAAACAACAAAAAAACCAAAAACCCTAAACACAAAGAGCCATGGGTACTTAAATGACCCCTCCTACCTTAATCCACAGTGACAATGTAAATGTGATATTTGTTCTGACCAGGAAAAAAGCAATCAAGAACATCAAGCAGCCCAGATTACATTACAGGACTTGCGAACTTACAGTCAAGCATTGTTCTCCCCAGAACCTTCTTCTGTAGTGTTTCTTCCACTTCTGACATCAGCCATGGAAGGAATTCTGTCTCAATATCTGTAAGAATTTAGCAGGAATGTAGAAAGAGAAAATGCCATTTTATTAAGGATGACTGACAGGAGTTGGGGACTGTTTTTTATTTGCTGCAACAATTAAGGGATGAACACCCCTGCCAAAAGACTCTTGATTGTAAGAGTCAGATGAAATCTCTCAAGTGTTGTTTGGTTTCTTATCTCCAGCCTCCCTTACTGAGGTTCATCATTATGGACTCTGACCAGAGTCCTCTCAACTGCAGTGATTTTCAAAGAGGTCTGGCACCCTTGAAAAGCTAGCACAGTTGAGATATACAGTCATGTTCTAGTGAGATCAAATAACTATTCTGAACAAGTCAGGAGAATAACATTTCCTGCCTTGCTTTCCAAAGACATTTGGCTTCTGGTCTGCTGAAAGCATTTCTTCCCTCTGACTAAAGAGCTCTTGCTTACCCATGTATTTCTCAAATCATACTCTTTGTATACTGTGGTCCCAAAGCCTGTCCTGGTGCAAAATACACTCAGTTTCTGCATTAACCCCATGACTTATTCCGGAGAGAGTGTAGCTGTTCCCAAGCTGTGGTATGCGACCATGTGGAGCCTGGTGAAGTGGGGTGCAGCAAGGTAGCCCATGTGAAATGCTGCTGATTCTAAAGGCTCGGAGGTCACTGATGTACAAGTCTAAAATTATTTTCAGGGCCTAATTCTAAATGAGTAATTTCCCCTTGCTCTGATAATCATTAAAAAAATATTCAGAATGACATACTGATTTCTTTGTTCTATCAAAACACATTTACTTCAATTTGGGTATCTCTTTCTACTGTACCAATCCTAACCACCCATTTATATCTCTTCAATTCCAAAGCAGCTCTTTTCATTGTCACACTGTCAGCTCTTGCTTATCCTTGACTACTTGTACAGATGACCAATAATATTTGTTTGTGTTAAAACTATGAGTTCAGCCACAAATGTAAATGAATAAAGTCTTATGACATTATTCTAAATAATAGGAGAATATGCTACGTTTTATGGTTGTTTCGAGGTTTATATTACTTAGTTCATATATTTTTAAAAATAAATACAAACCTCTTTCTATAGGGTCATAAAAAAATCCACTGTCATAAAGATTGCTGAAGACTGAGGGAATAAGATCAGCCAGGTAACGCTTAGCAAATGCCCGAGCTGCAATTTTCTCTGTGGTCTCTTTCTGCTTCCGCAGCTTTTCCAAGTGCTCGAGTCTGCGACGTTCCTGTCAAGGCAATTATGCATGTAAAACTTAGAGGCCTTTAGCTGTTACTTCCTTGATCTAGACTTTGAAGAATTATCACAGTGCAAGTCTCTTAAATAGCAAAGATAATTAAAACTGCAGATAATCATAGTCTCTACCTGGTATTTGCAGCCTCTACCTTTCACAAAAACTCCTCATATGAAAGAATGCTTGAAAGCAAGCTTGTACTCAATCTATGAAGTATTATAATAAACAAAAATTACAGAGAAACACATTTCTGTGTTCTGTGGTTCACCTTTTCGATTTTGAGAAGTCTGTAAAATAAGGGCCTCACAGTTGACCAATGAAACCCTTCTCTGATGTCTTAGTATACATTGGTCTCATGCCTTCTTGATTTATTATTGCAGATCAAGTTGATCATTGGCCTTAGAATGAGATGAAGTTAGATGGTATTTCCTGAACTTTTCAGCTTTCCAATATTCTAACCCATTTGATGATTAAAATGATTAAAACTCAAATTAGTCCAGGAAAACATTAAAAACCCCAATTATACAAGGCTGATGAATAGTGAGTAAGACTTGCCTTTTCTGCTTATTCCTATTTACTAAATACTAATAATATAGCATAATACTTGGAGATCTTGAGATGTACGTGTGCAAATATAGTAGTGCATGCATTGGGTGTGAATGTCTAGGAGGTGTCTCTCTTACTTTCAAGCACTCTGACTATTCATTTATCAGTTATTATAATGAGAATGTTTAAGAAACAGCTGCACCAGGTACAGAATAAAAAGCTGTTGGTCTGGCCTCTTGATCAGATGTCCGAGGATACCAGGTCATTCAAGCATGACTGCTCCAAATAAACACAACAGTATGATGCTGTTGTATGAGAACAAGTGGCAGAGTGCAGCTCACCAAAATGCTAGGAGGAATATCAAAGTTAACAGTGCCCTTTGAGGTCTGTCCAGCTTATCTCACAGCTTGCCATTCAGTACCGGAAATGTTTTTCTCCCTTCTGATGAGCATTCAGAATGTTTTGCTCTTAGGTAGGAAGTCCTACCTTCTCCTCTCTGATTCGCCTGTCCTGCTCTTCCAGGCGCTGTAATTCAGCAAACTCCGCGTTACGCAGCTCTATAAAGGCACGCTGATGTGCCCGCAGCTGGGCCAGCTCTTCTTCCTCCATGACTTCCAGCAAAGCCTGCTCAACTGTTTTCCCAATCAGCACTTCCAGGATTGGCTTAACTTCAATGTCAAAGTCAAATAACTGAGGATAAGAATCACAGAAACAGGGATAAATATCCCTTGGTCACAGTTGCTCTTAACAAGGATTGGCAAAGAGAACAGGAGGCTGAAGAAAGCCCCTGTGCTGAAGGCAGGCCAGAGAAGTGCAGGTGAGGGACCAGTGTCAGCTGAGGCAGAAAGAAGCATGAGTGCAGCTGGGAGCTAAGTGATGAGTGGGTTGGAGTGAGATGCACACATACCCTCTCACAGCCACTGTTGGGACTGCCAGGGACAAGCTGAACACTCACTTGGACCCTGTTTCTATGTTCCCAACCTGTTCTTGAGCTGGACATGTTTTACAGAAGAGAGCATTTCTCAGCACTGTAGTTCTTAGCTGAAAACAGCAGAACCAGTGCATATGGAGAAGTATCTTAATTTGGCACCTAACCTCAAAGTAGACTAAGGAGAGTTGGATTGGGGTTCGGATTTTTTGGTTTGTTTGTTTGTTTGTTTTATGTTCTGTGAGGATTCATTCCTTTCTGTTTCTTCTTCAATTTTGCATCAGAAATGTGTTTTATATGGGAGACATACTTCAACAGCACTTTGTGGACCTGACTTTGCTTCATACCTCTCCTTCTTCTATTTGCGTGGCTATATCTTTTCCTGTTTTGGCTGGTATGAAGAGTGGAGTTGGTGGTCTGTCCAAAAATTCATCTGTTTGACACTCTCCATCAACCTCTACTACATAGTCACAAATCTCTTCCAGATACAGTTCTAGAAACAAAAGCATATTGAATACTCAAAGCTGGATTCTTTTTATTTTAACTCTCAACTATTTTTGCTGTCTCTACACTGTGAATTATATCCAAAGAGTCAAATAAAATGTCTTATATAAAGTTAAAAAAAAAAAAAAGGCAGCTTGACTTAAAACATACATCAGTTTGCTGCATAGCCTATCTGATGCTATGCTTCCTGTAATGTCAGGTGCACTTCATGGAAGTGATTTCCAAAAAGGGTAAATAAATGAATAAATGAAAACTGCAAAACAGACCTTCTGGGAAAATGTCACTAATTTAGATAAATTTAATAAATACAACTAAAAATAAGGGGTTATAATGGAAAGGATTACAGAACCTTTGATTCTAGCATTCTATGATTTTAAACTTATCCTTGTGTGATTCTACCAACTTCATCATCAATTTAGCAAGTGAATATAGATCAGCAAGCTTTGTTTTCAGATGAATACAAAAAAAAACACAACCCCTTTTACCTGTCTGCACAGAAACGTGCTCTCTGCCTTCCACAGGCTCTGGTGTTCCTGGTCGAATTGGCTCTTTTATGCGCTTTCTCACTGGTGCTCTTTTCTGTGCACCCTTCTGCTTTTGAACCTCAGGGGGATTGGGTTGGGTACTCTGAGCAGGGGTGAGGAAGGAAAAAAAACACAAAACAGGATACACTTTGTACTTGAAAATGATATTTCATTCTTTCTACAGGAAAATGAAGATTGGTGGTTGATTTGAATGCTAGCAATCTAGCATTTTGGATTTACTTTTCTGGATCCTGACTCTAAATTTTTGGTTGACTTGAAGAGTGTAGGGCATGAAACATGAAGATATGCTAGCTGCCTACAGGCAGGTGCTAATGGCATCTCACAGTAAGAGCATTCATTTGTTATTTGAAAGTGAATATTGTATACAGAACTTTGCTTTGTGAGATAAAGTATAATAAAACAATGTTTTATATGTGAGTTTTCAAATTTTGAGAGGTCAAATGGACTTAAGTCCAGTTATCCTATTAGGAACAGAATTGTTTGCTAGATAAAAATTATAGGACCAATTATTGCTGATGAAACAAAAGAAACACATACTACCTTTTAAATTCAGTACTCTGCTTATGATTGAAATGAACACCAGTTTTGAACTTCTTAAACAAAGCTGACATGAAATTCACTCTAAGAAACAGATACTGAATAACACAAGTTATTTACACAAAGTAGCTTTTAAAAATATAGACTGCTATAAATTCATATATGATCAGATTGTCTATGTTGAAATATTCTCTGAAAATAAAGTATTGCATTTGGATGGGGTTCTGAGCGACCTGAACCAGTGGAAGATCTCCCTGTGGCAGGGGGTTGGAACCAAATGACCTTTTAAGATCCCTTCCAACCCAAACCATTCTAAGGTTCTATGACTTACTACTATATCAGGATAAACAAAATACTTTTGCCTCCTCACAAGTAGCTTTTGCATACTGCTGCACCATTTAGCTCTGCTTCTATGGTAGGATAAGCCAAAGTCTACCCCAAGACAATTTCCCAGGAGCTGCAATTCTCCCTGAGGACACCTTGCATGTGATCACAGATTATGCAGTGATGTCTTGTGTTTAGAATCATTACATTAAAGAAATAGAGCAAAAAAAGGAATCACGTACTTAATGGGGGAGGCAGAGGGAGAACAAATCAGAACTACATAAGTTCATGTGAAACTGAGTGCTTTAAATAAGAGCTGGAAACAGTCACAGACCGTGACTATGTGAAACATTTGAAGTAAAACTACAGTTTCAGTAGTTAAAATTATAAACGAGGAACAGCTTTCCTGGCCCTATGACTTTTCAACAAAGCTGTAGAATGATCCACATTAAAAACAAAACAAAACAAAACAAAAACACACAAAAACCCAAACAAAAAACCCCAACAAAACACCCCCCCCCAAACACAAAACAAACAAACACAAAACAACACCCCTCCAAAACAAGCAAACAAACAAAAACACATAAAAAACCCCATACCTGCGGCAGGAGCCGAATGGCTAAGGCGTGTCCCCGCGCCACTCTGGGGTCGCGCATGATGTTGCCGTAGCACACGGGCTGCTTCTGCCTGCGAGCAGCACAGACAGCGCCGGCTGCAGCACCACGCACCGCCCGCAGCGGCTCGGACCGCCCGCAGCGGGCAGCTCCCCCCGGGGCACAGGAAGGAGGAGCCCCCGGGAAGGGCGGCGAGGGAGCCGGGATGAAGGGAGAGGCGCGGAGGGCGCGGGGGCAGCGGCACTCACGGCTCGGCGGCGTCGGGCGGCGCTCGGTACTTGGGGCGGGCGAGCAGGGAGCGGGGCTGGCTGCTGTAGCTGTAGGGCAGCGCGGGGGCCACCGTCAGCTCCGGCGGTCGGGCGGGCAGCATGGTGGGTTCTGTCCGGCAGCCGCCGGGCGGTGCAGGGCGGCGGGACGCGGTGCGGGCCGATGGAATGCCGCTCGGATCGGGCCGATGGAATGCCGCTCGGATCGGGCCGATGGAATGCCGCTCGGATCGGGACGGCGCGGGCCGTGAGGGAGTGTGACGGCGTCCGTCTCCTGGGCAACGCGCGGCGCATGCGCGGCTGCGGGGTCGTTCATAGATCCACAGAACGGCTTGGGTTGGAAGGGACCCTAAAGATGGCTCAGTTCCATTCCCGCGCCGTGGGCAGGGACACCTTCCACTAGACCAGGTTGCTCAGAGCCCCATCCAGCCTGGCCTTGAACACTTCCAGGGGTGGGGCAGCTACAACTTCTCTGGGCAACCCCTTCCACTGCCTCACCACCCTCGCAGCAAACCATTTCTTCCTAACATCTGGTCTAAACCTACTCCCTTTGAGTTTGAAGCCGTTCCCCCTTGCCCTGTTACTACATGTCCTCGCAAGAAGCCCCTCTCCCTCTGTCCCCGCAGGTACTGGAGGGCCGCAGTTAGGTCACCCTTGGCTGTGCGCGGGTGTGGCTCGGGCGGGCAGCGCTTCGTGCCGTCCCCCTCACGGGCGCGTTCGTGATGGGAAGAGCCAAACCCTCGGGAGGGTTAAGGGGGACGTGCCGGCCCACCAGGCACTGGGAAAGCACCGCTGTAACCCGTAAAGGGCCCCAGCGCTGCGGGGCCTCCCGTGGCCGAGGTAATGAGGGAGCTGAACCGCGAGGTGTCACCGTCCTCCTTGCCGTCGCTGGACAAGCTCCTCCAGGGAAACTGGCGGTGGCTTAACTTGATCTGCAATGACATTGGGGTGCAGAGATTGGCTGGGGAATCGCGAAAACCTGTTGGATGGCGTACTGGTGGCTTAGGTACAGATGTCATAAAAGTACCGGCTCCAAAAGTACTGCACTCCAAATTTCGTGTTTTCCAAAAAAGCATTTGGATACTGTGAAGGTGTTGTATGCTGGGAGATAGGAGTGTGAGGTGCGTCCTCAGTATACCATCCCATCCGTGGTGAGCTGCACTCCTTGTCAGGGCAAATCGTGAGGATGTATTTTCAGATTCTGTGAAAATTTTCCTTTAAGAGAAACATAAAAGCAATGAAGGGTTACTGATACAGTGATAGCCTTCTTTTTTAACCTTTGTGGTTAGTGATATGCCTTGATTACTTTAGCAAGACAGAGTATATAAAATAGCCCATGACTTTTGTTTCTGAAACTTCTGGTTTAAATGTAATTCATGTGTGAAATTCTATTTATTTCATCTCAGTTATGTTAGTGCTGCAGATGCCTGTGCTCCACTACAGCCCCGAGTAGACAGTCACAAAAAAGAGAATTACAAATAGCAGAGTGTACTTCACAGGGGGCCTGGAAGGCATGAAAAGCTGTAGAGGAGGAGAAACTTTTTTAAAAACAAGTTTAAAAACTCCACCCTAAACAAAAACAAACAAACAAACAAAAAACACTACCAAAAAAAGCCAAGTGTGGGAGGCAAAGAAAAACAAGGAACGTTTTTGTGATTCATTAATGGGCAGCTTACATAGCCAGTACAGGAATGGGAATTGTGTTCACTAGACTTTTGTTAGCTGGGAGGTAGGACAGAAGGATATGGGCCTGCAGAAGTACTTTTCAAGTATCACTGGGGTAGGAGGGTAGAGCAGTCCTTCAATATTTGTTTGTGTCTGGGCAA